GAAGATTTTTTCAACGTTTATTATTATACTAGCCGTTCTGGGCGCCATTTAAAATTATTTTTTTTTCCTCAGTAGCTTTCCTTAGTAGCTTTCCTTAGTATATATTTGATGCTTCAATCGGAACCAATTTTTTTTAATGACAGTTCCGGCTAAATCATAGGTCTTCCCAAGAAGGCAGCCTCTCCTCCCTCCCAGACTCTACTGTTGACAGAAAAGTTGCTTTTTCAGCACTTTTCTCAGTTCAAACTCATGAAAAAGACTAAAATTTATCGCACTCTCTAGCAACCCCTCGAGTGAAATAGAAAAAGGTGGAATCAACTAAAGGTAGAATCCTTCCACTCTAATATTAATGATTAAAAGTAATCAGTATACCTACCTACCTAATGAGCTTGATCTCGTCGGTTTGACCGAGTTAGTGCTCTGTTGGGGCTTTTGTCGGTTTGGACTTTGCAACTTCACTCGCAGGGTAGGTACTGGTTTCTCCCAACTTAACGAGTAGCGTCAGGCGTTTGTATCAAACGTCCTGGCTGACGACAAGTTGGCAATCCTAGAGAGCAGTTGAGAATCCACCGTGCTCCTCCAATTGACGGCTGCCCACGAGACTAATTAAAATCGAATTACTTAAAACAGCTAAAATAACTGGCCGATCAAACGGCTCAAGTTAATTCACCCACCACGATTTATGACTCGCTCCCAGATATGGTTATTAGTCGCCATGCTCGCCGGACTCTGTTGTCAGCTAAGCCGCTAATTCCGCGCTTCCCTCTCGAAAGCAGTCAGCGTGATCGCGTGATGAGCAAAGAAAAAGAACACTCCATTTGAACGTATTTATACTAAAAGGAACTATGATACACGCTAACCTTATGCACATAGTTCCTTTTAGCATAAATACGTCCATTCGTCCCTGACTTGAGGATGATATTAGAATCACCATCGATTATTTACATTTATTAACCCTCGAAGGACGGATTCGGATTGGAAGAGTCCTAACAAATGGACACCGTTGATATCGGAAGGAAAGTAAGTGGAAAAAGAAGAAGAAGATGAGAAAAGAGCGAAGGAGTAAACGAATAGGAAGGAGAAAGATAGGACGAAGAAGAAAAAATCAAGAGGAAGAGGAAAGGAAGCAAAAAAGAAAAAGGATAAGAGGAAGGAAAAGAGGGAAGAAAAGAGGACGGAGAATTTATTTTTCTTCGTCTATTCCTTCCCATTTCCCCTTGTTTTCCTCTCTTTGTCTTCCTTTTCTTTTCATCTTTTTCCTCTCTTTCTTACTTTTCTTGCTCCTCTCACTCTTCTCCTTCTTTTTCTTTTTTTCCCTCCTCTTTTGCTCTTTCTCTTCTTTTCTTTCTTATTTTCTTTTTCTTTCTCCTTTCTTTCTTCCTACCTATCTCCTTCTTCATCTTCTGATCTGAGATGAGAATTAAGATTAAAGTATATATTGAAGGCAAATAGTCAAATATTCTTACGTAGATTGAAATTTTGATTTTTTACCCTAATTTCATACAAAATAACTCGTCGCTCCTATAAGAGAGAATTCTCTGCAAAAATATGCAGCATACAATAGTATTTTAAACGATTATAAGATCCTGAATGCACATTTATCACGAAATTTTCAGCACGTCTTGAAACATAGAATTTTTAAAATTTTAACATAAGTGTACTAAAGGTATGTAAAAGGGAAAGAACAAGGAGAGTTATTCTTAACAAAATATTGAAAATCCATGAACTCCTCGCCCTATATTTACAGAATTCCGTAAACTGTCAAAATTTTACTATCGGCCTAGGCATTTGATAAAATGCCTGATTTGACTAATTGCCTGCGACATATACACTA